GATTCCCAGCCGGTTTTCACACCTGATGGGAACAGAGGGGCCTCGTCTGTGAATTAGAGGAACAAAGACCTACTGTTCAGGTGTTTAGGTGTGAACTGCCAATCTACATATATTTGTGTCTTATCTCACTCAGCCTTATAACCTGTATCTCTCACTCTCTGCTCTTGGAATTGAGAAAGCTCCTCGGATGAGGAGCGAAACGTCTTCTGTTACAAATAAAGTCCATTTGTTTTTGTATTGAACACTTTTTGAATGCCTGGATTACTGCATCAGCGCGGCGCGGCATGGACTGGATCAGTCTGCTCAGGTGTTCTGATCGTGGCCTTCAGCTCTTCTCAATTGTTGGCTCTGGTGTTTCACATCTTCTTCTTCACTATCCCCCATAGATTTTCTATGAGGTTACGGTCAGGAGAGTTTGCTGGCCAATTAAGAACAGGGACACCATGGTCCTTAGACCAGGTACTGGTAGCTTTGGCACTGTGTGCAGGTACCAAGTCTGTTGGAAAATGAAATGTGCATCTCCATAAAGTTGTTCAGCAGCAGGAAGCAGGAAGTCTCTACAACTTCCTGGCAGACGGCTGCGTTGACCTTGGACCTCAGAAAACACAGTGGACCAACACCAGCAGATGACATGGCCCCAAACCATCAGTGACTGTGGAAACTTGACACTGGACCTCAAACAACGTGGATTCTGTGTCTCCTCTTCCTCCAGACTCTGGGACCTTGATTTCCAAAACAAATGCAAAATGTACTTTCATCAGAGAACAGAACTTTGGACCACTCAGCATCAGTCCCAGGCGAGATGCTTCTGACGCTGTCTCTTGTTCGTGTCTTGACACAAGGAATGTGACAGCTGAAACCCATGTCTTGCATACGTCTGAGCGTGGTGGTTCTTGAAGCACTGACTCCAGCTACAGTCCACTCTTTGTGAATCTCCCCCACATTTTGGAATGGCTTTTTCTTCACAATCCTCTCCAGGCTGTGGTTATCCCTGTTGCTTTTTTCTACCACATCTTGTCCTTCCCTTCGCCTCTCATTAATGTGCTTGGACACAGAGCTCTGTGAACAGCCAGCCTCTTTAGCAATGACCTTCTGTGTCTTGCCCTCCTTGTGCAGGTGTCAGTGGTCGTCTTTTAGACAACTCTCAAGTCAGCAGTCTTCTCCATGATTGTGTAGCTACAGAATTGGACTGAGAGAACATTTAAAAGTTTTTACAAGTGTTTTGAGTTAATTAGCTGATTAGTGTGTGGCACCAGATGTCTTCAACATCGAACCTTTTCACAATATTCTAATTTTCTGAGATACTGAATTTGGGGTTTTCATTAGTTGTCAGTTATAATCATACCATACCATTTTATTTATAAAGCACTTAAAACAGCTACAAGGCCAACCAAAGAGCTGTACAGACAAACAACAGGTAACACACGAAGCAAAATACAAAATGAGGTCAATCAGAATATAGACATAAAAACAATGCAGATAATGACAACAAACCAGTGTGGAGCATACAGGATCAAAACACAGATCCTCTGGTGTTGAAAGCTACTGAATAGTAGTGAGTTTTTAAACGGGACTTGAAAACCGAGAGGGAGGGGGCCTGTCTGACAAGCAGAGGTAACTCGTTCCAAAGTCTTGGTCCTGCTACAGAGAAGGCCCTGTCACCTCTGCGCTTAAGACGAGTTCCTGGAACTGTGAGGAGCAACTGGTCCGCTGACCTCAGGGAGCGTGGTGGGACATACGGTTGTAGCAAATCAGAGAGATGGGGGGGGGGGCGGACACTGTTCAGTGATTTGTAGACATACATGAGTATTTTGAACTGGATTCTAAGGTGAACTGGTAACCAGTGCAGTGAGGCCAAAACTGGTGTAATGTGCTCTCTTTTGTCTGTACTGGTTAAAAATGGGGCTGCTGCATTCTGGACCAGTTGTAGTCGTGCAATGGAGGTCTGACTGATACCAAACAGGAGTGAATTGCAGTAATCAAGCCTAGATGTAATGAATGCATGTATTACTGTCTCCAGGTTCTTTTTGGACAGTATGGGCTTCAGTTTAGACAGCCGTAATCATCACTGTTACAAGAAATAAACATTTGAAATATATTAGTCGGTGTGTAATGAATGAATTTACTGTAATATACAGTAGTCCCTCGCTACTTCATGGTTCGTTTATCGCAAATTTGCTATATCGTGGTTTTTCAAAATAAGATTGGACATTTGGCTGATTGACGGATGAGTCATGGGTTGTTTATTTAAAATAAATTATTTTAAATGATTTTGCACCGTGTGTGCAGCCCACGAGTGCAGGGGAAGCTCCCTCCTGCAGCTGATCAGCTGATCTCCTTCTCTGCTGTAGCAGCTTTGTGAAGAGTTAACCCTTTGCTGTCCAAATGCACCGATCGACTTTTGTCTTCCAATTTAAAATTCAAAGTATGTCACATCGTAAAATCATCATAATCACAAAATATAAAAGTGTTTAAAGTTATTTTTAATTATTTTAGAACTTCTATGTTCTTCCATGCAGCATGGATTGTTTATTTCAAATGTCACAGTATTTACATTTAAATGGTCTATTTAAGGAGGGAGACTGGGAGTAACAGGTGATGAGTGTGATTACAGCTGGTACATGTCATGACTAAGTTTACTGAACTTGAACTTCTGTATCCCTACGTCACGGTTTTTCACTTATCGCGGTGGGCGTGGTCTCAAAATGCCGGAGCACATCTTGGCTTCAGTGCACGGAGAGAAAAGATTTATCAATAATGTTTAATATGCTGAAGTTCACTGGTTGCCCACACGTTAGTGCTCTCAGGTCAGCTGATCAGCTGCTCCTCCTGAGTGCACCCATGTACCCCCAGGTGACGTGCCTTGGCTGCAGCAGCTCCTAAACTGTGGAAGGGTTCCCCTCCACATCAGACAGGCTCCTCGCTGCCTGTCCTTTGTTCCAAGGCTTTTGACACCAGGTGAGATGTTCATGTTATTATTTATTTCATTCTCCTTTAATTTGTTATTTTGGTACTTGCATAGCTCTTTGTCTTTTTAATCAATTTGTTTTTTTGTATTTTATTCCTTTTGTGATTTTTAACTTGTCCGTACAGCACTTTGGTCCTGTATGTTTTAAAAGTGCTTTATAAATAAAGTTGGATTGGATGGAAGGGGCCCAGCAGAAAAACACCTGGAACCACTGACCTGGTAGGTCCTGAAATATTTCTGTAAGAACTAAACACTATTTTAAAAAAAAGGCAGAATGTCCCTTTAGTTAGAAAAATAATTTATTTCAGAGTATGTGAGGAGCTAAACAAGCCGAAAACATCAAATCAGCCGAAAGTGTTGATCGAGCAGAACAGAAGCTGCTCAGCCCAACGAGGCCTGAAGCCAACAGGACCAGAACCTGGACCTTCAGCTTGATTCACAAATCAAAGCTGATGTTTTATCGATTGCCATTTGGGTTCTGTTCCCATTTGGTTTGTTGGTTGATGATGATCCGGACAAATCGAATCTGATTCTGTTTCAGCAGTTCTTTAAAGAGGGTCACTGAAATCTCCTGATGCATGCTCAATAATCCAGGTAGAAAAATCCAATAAACTTAAACCAGGTCCTCTGGATGGATTAAAACAAATGAAACATAAAAAAGTTAAATAAAAATTAAAAACTTGTTGAAATGTTTCATCTTTCATCCAAAAGACTTCTTCAGTTTGAGGAGCAGCAACAAACTCAGTCTTTTAAATAGCACCTTACAGCAAAGACTGGTTCATCCCAAAGATCCAGTCCCCCGGCACAAACAGAGTAATATTGTGTATGTTGTTCAGTGTCAGGAGGGTGATCAGTCTTACATCAGGGAAACTAAACAGCCACTGGCCAAAAGGATGGCCCAGCACAGAAGATCAACATCATCAGGCCAGGACTCTGTGGTCTACACTCATCTCCAGGCCAGCGGTCACTCTTTCAGGGATGAAGATGTTCACATCCTGGACAGAGAGGAACGATGGTTTGAGAGAGGAGTAAAGGAGGCCATCTTTGTGAAAAGAAACGGTCCATCATTAAACAGGGGTGGAGCCTCCAGGTTCAATTGTCCCCCTCTTACAATGCTGTGATTGCTAGTATCACTCAGCCCTCTGTGAACAGTAAACAGCCATCAGTGTGCTAATGATCCATTGTTAGGCTGATGGTCCTTCTTGAGCATGTGAGCATCTGGTTTTGGTTGTCAGCAGCAACACTGGTTGATCCACTCTGAGAAGGTGCTATTTAAGAGACTGAGCTGAATACAGCACCTCAGACTGAAGAAGTCCTTTGGATGAGAGACGAAATGTTTCAGCAAACAAGAATCTGTGGACCTGACTGACCTTTGTCTGATCACTGAAATAATTAATTTTTTTAATCTAATTGATCAGAGAACGTCTGGACGGAACAACAGAAAGTTCACTTTTGCACCTTTAGACCGGTTCTACGGGCCGGAGCAACATAACACCACTTCCTGCTCCCTCAAGTGGCTTCGCCCACTTCTGGGTGGAGTTAAAGATAAAAGAAACTAAAGAGATTAAATTATAAACTGAAGGTGAACATAGTTTTATTTAACAAAAAAGGTTTAATTCATGTCATCTGGACCAGTTTCTGACATTTATCAATTATACGGACGGCGCCCCCCCAGGGGCGTGACGGCCCCCTGCACCTCATCTTGTTAGTAAACTAAATAAAACTATGTTTGTAGTGAGAAACAGTTTGTCCCCCATCCCGAGGACTTCGTCAGTCTGAGGCCGGCCATCCAGATGTGTGGCATAGGTAGCCTTCACTGCTGTGGTTCAACGTCCTGTTGGACTCTCAGAAGTAACACGTGCAACAGCGCACACCATCCAAACATTTCTCACTTACAGAAACTGGACCGGGTGAGATGATTCAAACCTTTTTTGTTGCCATCCACCTGGATGACTGAGCCTACAAACAGTTGTATTGTTTAGTTTGAAATGTGTGCTTTTCAGAACACACGTGAAACCATTCAGCTCGGGCCTTCGCCACAAGTCGTCCACCTCCTCCCAGTTCTGCTGGAACAGTCTCCAGGTTCTGAGGATCTGCTCCTCCAGTCTTCTCTGCTGGAGGAACCGGTGACAGACCTTTGGATCCCTGGTTTCTGTCTGTACCGCCCCTCACGTGGACTGGACCCCCAGCGCGATCTTCAGGTACTCGTAAACGACATAACTGATGCTGACGGATGGGATGACCTTCATGAAGTTCGGGGCGAGGCCTCGGTACAGACCCGTGGGTCCTTCGGTCCGAACGATGTGCCTGAAGAGGCCCGACATGCTCATCTGAGGTCCGCCTTCCAGAGACGCTGAGGAAACAGGAAGCAGCTGTCAGGGGTGGAGCTTAGACTGACACATGGAGCTGAGCGCTGATAAAACAACAGGATGAACCCCATCTGCTCAGAGACCCACCTTGAGCCTGCATCCGGGTCCGGACCAGAGCCAGTGGGTAACTGGCCAGCTGACCGCACGTGCTGGAAGTGGTCCCGCAAGCCAGCAGCACGAAGACCCCCGGGTCGGCGCTGTCAGTGGCAAAACGCTGCAGCCAGGAGTTCTTCAGAGTCTGAGGGTCCACAGGACAGAAACTGGGTCAGACAGAACGGAGACATGAACCGAGTGAGCATCCAGAGGCTCCGCCCACCTCATAGACAGCCAGGTCGATGCCGGCGTACGGGATGATGCCAAGCATGTTGGGTACGTAGCCTTTGTAGAACGCAGCCACACCCTCCTTCTGGAACATGTGCTTAGCACAGTCCACGATTCCCGAGTACTGACCCGTCCTCCTCAGGGCTAATCGGGTCTTCAGAACCTGCCAGACAGGAAATGGTTTTTATTATCAAAAGTCGGGGTTCTGTAGACGTCGGTCGGTCCAACTGGACCAGATCTTCTCTCAGCTGTCTCCAGCAGTGGTTCTGTGATCCAAACTCTGCAGGTTCTGATGAAACCTGTTGGGTTTATTTGGACCACACTCACTCAGAGTTCCACATGTTAAATCTAAATTAAATTGATTTAATTAAATCTAAATTAATTCTGAATTAAATTAATTACATTAAATTAAGTCTAACTTAAATTAAAAATCTAAATTAAATTAAACCTAAATTATTTGTAAATTCATTAAAATTAGATCTAATTTAAACTAATTAAATTAAATCAAAATTTAATTAATTTAATTTAATCTAAATTAAACAAAATTTAAATTAAATTAAACCTAAATTAATTCTAAATTAAAGTGACTAATTTAAATTAAGTAAATTCATTCAATCTAAATTAATCTAATTAAATTAAATCTAAATTAAATTAATCTAATCAAAATTAAATGTTATTACATCTAAATTAATTAAATTAATTAAATCTAAACTAAATCTAAAATAAATTAAATCAATTAAATTAAAATAAATAAAATAAATAAATTTAGATCTAAATTAAATGAAATCTAAATTAATTACATGAATTAAATTAAATCTAAAATACATGAATTAAATGAAAATGAGTTTTCTGGTCTACACAGACGACTACATGATCTGTGGCTCTGATGAGTGGAACCAGACAAGCCGGACTCCCTGGCCCGGCCCGGTTCCTGACCTCCATGGGGTAGATGCTGCTCTGGGCGATGACTCCAGCCAGAGAACCGGACAGAAACCTCTCGGCGATGCCCAGTGTCTCCTGCTCGCTGCCGATCAGCCGTTTGATCTGGTGGAACATCATGGTGTGTTCAGCAGAACCTCAAACAGAACCTTTATGAAAACCTGTGCTCGGTTCGGACCTGCTCGTAGGCCATGAACTTTATGGCTGACTCCGGGGCGATCTTGATGACGTTGATGCCGTTTCCTCTCCACAGTGACCTGACTCCGCCCTCCCGGATCATCTGAGCGAAGCCGCCACCGATCCTCATGCTGTTATTTTTGGAGGCGTGGACCTGAGGAAACAACGGTTCTGACACTTCATGTCCCCGGTCCAGTCCGCCAAAGTCCAGAACAATGGATCTGAGGGGGTTTACCTGCATTAGAACTTTGAGCCGGTCCAGCGGCGCCGTGCACGTCCGAGATGCGGCTCCAGCTCCTCCTCCAGCCACCAGGTGGCGCCACCACATCCCCGTTTTCCTCTCCTCTGCTGTGAACTCGTCCGGAACCATTAGACTTTCCCCCACATCCAGGATCTGAGGATGAAACGGACCGGGTCAGACCGAAGGAACACGGGTCCAGATCTGCAGACCGGGTCAGACTGAGGGCTACAGCCTGGAACTGGACTCAGAATGTTTTTATGTAACCCTTGGGTTCTGGTTGGCTTTTGGGTCAGAACAAACCTGTTCACCCTGTTCCAAACCTCCAGGTAGAGACAGATGTTTCCGGTACAGCAGGAAGGTTCTGTTGGCTTTGATTTATTAAGATTTAAAGGAAACATTCACACATTTAGAACACAAATATAAACCAAATAGTTCCTTTCATGGCACACCAGCTATGGTCCTGGTACAATCAGGACCACATGTTTGGTTCTGGTTCTAAGGGACCGTGGACTCAGCAACAGATGTAACATGTAAAAGTTTTGAGTTGTTTCAAACAAGCATCGGTTCAGGACGCCGCGCTTCTGTCTGCACACTGCGGACAGAACAGAACGATGATGTCATAGCTCCGCCTCTGATCCTCGTAGGACCTGAGGCGTCCTCAGACCCTTTTCAGTGCCACCCACAGGCCGGGCAGACTTACTGTAGCATTTGGATTGTTTCCATGTGCATGAAGACGTTTCTAGAAACTTTGTTAACAAGAATTAACAATTACTAATAATCAATAATAATTTGTAATAAATAATGTGTAGCTGGGTCAACTGGGTCCTAGACTTCTTAAACAGACCACAGTTAATGAGGATCCACTACTTCTCCTCCTCCACCATAACCCTCAGCACTGGCTCTCCTCAGGGATGTGTGTTGAGCCCCCTCCTGTTTACTCTGCTCACATATGATTGTGCAGCTACCCATCCAGGCTGTCACATTGTAAAGTTTGCAGATGATACAGCGGTGGTGGGATGCATCACAAACAATGATGAGTCCAGCTACAGGCAAGAGGTGGAACACCTGGAGAGCTGGGGCAAAGAGAATAACCTTCACATCAATGTGAAGAAGACAAAGGAGATGATTGTGGACTTCAGAAGGAACAAAAACATCTACACCCCCCTGAACATAAGAGGATCTGCGGTGGAAGTGGTCTCCAGCTACAAGTACTTGGGTGTACACCTGAACAACAACCTCAGCTGGAGCAACAACACCACCAGCCTGATCAAGAAAGCTCATCAGAGACTCTACTTCCTCAGGCGGCTGAGACAAGCTGGTCTGGGAAGCTCAGTCCTCACCTCCTCCTACAGGTGTGCAGTGGAGAGCATCCTGTGCTCCAGCATCAACGTGTGGCATGGAGGCTGCACAGCTGCAGAAAGAAAAGCTTTGCAGAGAGTGGTGAAGGCTGCACAGAAGATGTTGGAGTCAGTCTCCCCACCATCACAGACATCTACACCTCCAGATGCAGGAAGAGGGCCACCTGCATCATGAAGGACCCCACTCACCCAGCACACACACTTTTTGCCCCACTCCCCTCAGGAAGGAGGTTGAGGAGCATTAAGTGTAGAACCACTAGACTGAGGAACAGCTTCTACCCTGAGGCTGTTAGACTCATGAATCTCTGACCAGAATAATCACTGTGAAAAAAAAAAAATCACTGTAATTCCTCTTGATTGTTGATATGTGCTGCTGATCTTATGCTGCTGATTTATTTCATGCTGCTGTGTTCATTTGTACTCATCTGCTCACACAGACTCATGTTCGTGCTGCTGTTGTTCGGCGTATTGTTTTTGTACTAATAGTACTTAGCCTATTCTTAGTTTAGTGTATTTCTTAGTTCATATCTTAGATCTTATTAGTGTTTTTCTTTACAATTTATACTTTTTTTGTAGAGTACCTGGGACCCTGTGTGCACACTTTTGTTCCACCACAAGTATCACATGTGGTGCGAATGACAAATATAGAAACCTTAACTTTATAAATAATTGTTCTGGAATTAACAATAAAATTATGCTTTTGGAAAAAGGACTAAAAAAAATCCTGAAGTTCAGATGTTGGAACCCAGAAACACGACCCAGTCCTGGTCCCGGAACCCAGAAACACGACCCAGTCCTGGTCCCGGAACCCAGAAACACGACCCAGTCCTGGTCCCGGAACCCAGAAACACGACCCAGTTTATGGTTTAAATCAGACGTGTGTTTCTGTGATGTTGCGGTACCGTGGAGTGCTTCCAGTGCAGGATGATCTCGGGGATGTTGTCTGCAGGATGCAGCAGGTGATAATCTCTCCACTCGTCCCAGTCGATGCTCATCGTTCCGTTTTTATCCATGCTGCAGATTAAAACCAGTTTCAGTAAAACCTCATGAGAACCTGCTGCCATGAACAGCTGACCTGGTTCTAAAGGTTCCTCCAGCTGAAGCTTCTGATAAACGCTGCAACTGAAACAAACTTTGATTTTTGCTCCGTTTCCTCCAAAATGAAGCAACATAAAAAGCCCTGCAGCCGAGCTGAGCAGGCACACGACAGAAACTGCTACTTACTACAGGACCGGGGTCCAGATCAGACCCCTCCTGATTCTGAGACGAGCCGGGGACACGTGGACAGAGACAGACAGAGGGTTAGAGACACACGTCAATTACAAACACACAGGAAACAGGAGGTCCAACAAGTGAAAACACCTGCTGACAGGAAACATTCCTGTCCATTCCAACCATAGAAACCTCTGACTAATGTCTGAGTTAGCTCTAACCATAGAAACCTCTGACTAAT